TCAAGATATCGCGCATCTCGAGGAACACGTGTACATTGCAGGCAGCGTTGCATTACTCATTTTGCAATTCGAAACTTATTGCCATTCTGTGATGTGAAGCAGCTATTATACTGCTAGATATATCAGAGAGCCTAAAAAACGGATGTAATGTTATACAAAAATAGAAAATAAATGAAAAGAAAATTTACTAAAGATGCTCTCCTGACAAGAACACGTCAGCTGAAATCTCATCCAATCAAAATCGCCTTTTCGCGTCCTCATGTGACGTCACTTCCCCCTCAGAGCCAATCAAAATCGCCGTTACACATCTTCACACAACGTCACTTCCCCTTACCTACCAATCAGAATTACCGCACACGTCCTCACGCGACGTCACTCCACCCTAACCAGCGAATCAGCGTCGCCGACATACATCCCCGCGCGACGTCACTCCCCTCCGCCAGCCAATCGGAGGAGGCGTTAGAATAGCTCAGGTGGCGAGATCGGTGACGCAAGTTGTTGTTGTTGTCGAGACTCTAAGGCAAACGGACGTCGGCGATGGTCCTCGAGGCGCTGCGTGGAAATGGTCGCTTACGGGGATGGCGACGATGACTCCCTGGCGACGCTGCGTTCTGAGGCTCCTGCTAGCGGTGCTGTTCCTCCTGCTCGCGCTCTTGCTTAACGACGTCGCGGCCGAGGTCGAGCTCAGGAGCGACCACAGGTTCATCCTCGACCTCGGGCACGAGCTCGAGGACGAGGGCGAGGGGGCGTCCGAGGAGGAGGAGGACGACCTGCAGATCCTCCAGCAGGTGGCGAGGCAGGGCGGGGGTACCTTCGGGGCCGAGTGGTCGAGTGCGGATGAGCTCGAGGGCGACCTCATAGTGGAGGACGACCCTGGCAATGAGTCGGAATTCATTAACTCGGAAAATTACGAGGACTTGTACGGGGGGCCGGAGTTCGAGGAGCTCCCGCACTGCCAGAGCGACGCGCCCGACGAGGACAGGCCCAGGTGGGTGACAAGGACCTTTTTTTCCCTAGGCCTATATACTAAAGTAAGTGGTGAAGTAATTGATACGCTAATGAGTGAATGATAATTAACTAGGGCATGCACGGAGCACTTGGAACGACAGCTTAAACCATGGAAAATAATCAGCGGAAAGTGATGTCAACACGACAGTTAATTATCATAGACATTCTGTGACATGTAAGCGCCCTCACTGTGGCCTCCCTTGCCGTCCTCACTCTGGCAAACGGACAGCAGCCTCCACTCTTCTGTAGGCAAGATAGAGCTTGTGGACTGCCTTGGGGATTTCCTGTCCAGGAACCAGTCCAGGATTGCTATCTTCCCGGGTGTATATTGCTGGGAGTTTGTTGGCCTTTGTCAGAGTGCAGGAGTTGGTGCCACAGCAGTTGTGGGGCTTGGACTCAGGCGACTTGGCCCTTGGCTCAAGAATCACCTCTTTCTCTTTCTGGCAGGGCGATTGTTTTGAATACTTTCATGTGACCAATTGTGATGATTTTTGTATGGATGTTTTCTTCTCATGTATAGGAATTATGTCACTGAAACCTCCCAAACTACCATATTCTCATCCCTGATCGCATGGGAGGACCCAAAAGGAACCAGGGGAATTGTGGGGCAAAATATGAGTAATATACATAGAATAAGTCATTGTATTGTCTAATTCAGCCATGGAAGACAAGGAATTCTCTGCTCATTCATGGCAGAAAAGACCATGCAACTGACATGCAGGGAGTGCCTGATACCAAGTCTGTCCTATGCTCTATCCTGCCGTGCATCCATGATGGATTCTCTGTTGTCCAGGGTGGGGGCTAGGAGGCAGTAGGGGGGGGTGGTTGCAGGGCACACAGCTCCTGCATCTAACTATATATTGACTGATTTTCTATGTTATTCATACTCTGGAATTTGCCTGGTATTATTCATGCTCTTCCCTGTGATTGGGGCCAAGACTGTGGGCATTAGGGGGTTTCAGAGACATAATTTGGGTACTAGAGAGTGAGAGGAATCCACTGATGCCAATATCGTCGTGATTGGGGCCAAGACGAAGGTTTTCTGAACATTTATCTCTGGCATGTCAGAGTACTCTAATGATAATTCATAGTAATTCTGTGATGAAGCTATGCATATTTTGTACTAATGAATTTGGTAATGATGAACTGTATTTGATAACCACTGGCCAGATATAGCAGTTTCAGTCGGTATTATATAATGATACTATTGACCTTGATGGCTGGAGAGGGCACTGGGGACATGCAATTTCCTCTCTAGTTTTGTTTTGTGAATTGTGTTTACACATAGATGGCACCACTAGTCCTCAGTCACCAAGGAGTCAATGTGTATGCCTGCATGACCTCAACTGCTTTTGCCTGCTTTCCCCTTTGCTGAAGTTTTTGAGAAAAAAAGTTTTTTTTCACCTACTATTGATATGGATACTGTTATCATCATTGTTGACATTATTGACATTGATAATAGAAATTGTTGTTGTTGTTGTTGTTGTTGTTGTTGTTGTTGTTGTTGTTGTTGTTGTTGTTGTTGTTGTTGTTGTTGTTGTTGTTGTTGTTGTTGTTGTTGTTGTTGTTGTTGTCAGGACCAGTAGTTGACTCCTTGATGTATAGGCACTTGTAGAGCCATCTATGTCAACCCAGTTAATAAACTAAAATCCCAGAGGACATGGCCTGTATGCACATGCCATCCCTGGAGGCAGTGGCTTAAGGTTCCATGGGAACTGGTGGATTGACAGCCAATGGTCATTATGAGTTGGCCCAGCCATACTGCAGCCGCCATGTCTCTAGTACTCTGGAAGCACAAGCAAATTTCCACCTTGTATATTCCAACACGTTTGGGCTTTGAATAGCTCCTTATGTGACTGAATTGCCAACAAGACCTACAGTGTCTGTCATGTCATAAAATGTATTATGTAGTTTTCTGGCCTTTGCTGAAGCAGTGACAGACACTGATTGCATGGCAACTTTATCACCAGTATTATTACTATAGCTAGTTTCTATGGACTAAACTTCTGCAGTTGAACAGTTGAGATCAAATGCAATCCACTGACATCAGATTCACCAATATCAGCAACGTGTAGCTTTTGTATGGGCTTTCCCAAGTACTTAGTGGGAAGAGGACAGTATCAAGCAATGCCCCACTTCTCCCCTTGACTCTCAGGCCAGGGTCTTTACTACTTATATGTTGGCATTGTAGTGCTTGGACTTTTGATAAGCAATTGTGCATTTACCTGTATTCTGCATTTATTACTTTCATATCTTTCATGCTTTTTTTTATTGTTTTTCTCTGTCTCCATGCACTTCTAATCTAGGTAATTGCTGTTATTCAATTGTTATTCCCCCTTACCTTTCAGAATAAAACTTATTTTGAAATGCTTATCAAGGCAGAAAGGTGATAACATGTTATCCTGCTCCATGTGCATTTTGGGAAATCTGTTTGGGTAGTAGCATAGTATCTTGTTTCATCTATAAGATTCCTTATTATATATTATAGAGTAAATTCTTTCTTTAACTAGTCTAACACACACACACACACACACACACACACACACACACACACACACACACACACACACACACACACACACACACACACACACACACACACACATACATACATACGTACATACACACATACACACATACACACATACACACATACACACATACATACACACATACACACATACATACACACACACATACACATACATACATACATACACACATACACACACACATACATACACACACACATACATACACACACACATACATACACACACACATACATACACACACATACACACACACACACATACATACACACACATACATACACATACATACACACACATACACACACATACACACACATACACATACATACACACACATACACACACATACACACACATACACACACATACACACACATACACACACATACACACACATACACACACATACACACACATACACACACATACACACACATACACACACATACACATACATACACATACATACATACATACATACATACATACATACATACATACATACATGCATGCATGCATACATACATACATACATACATGCATGCATACATACATACATACATACATACATACATACATACATACATACATACATATGCATATATATACACATACATATACATACACATACACATACATATATATACATACATACATATTCATACACATATATACACATATACATATACATATACTTACATACATAAACATACACATACATACACATACATTCACATACATGCATTCACATACATACATACACATAACCATATATACACACACATACATACACATATATACTTACAAATACATACATAGACATACATACACATACATAGACATACATACACATACATATACATACATTTACATACATATACATACATATACATACATATACATACATACATACATACATATACATACATATATACATACATATATACATACATACATATATACATATATACATAAATATACATACATATACATACATATATACATACATATACATGCATACATACACATGCATATACATACACATACATATACATACACATACATATACATATACATACAAAGACATACATATATATACATATATATATATACATACATATATACATACATACATACATACATACATACATACATACATACATACATACATACACACATACACACATGCATACACATACATATACATATGCATATACATATACATATGTATGTCATACATGCAACTAATAATCATGATGGAATTGATAATAATTATATTGGAAATAATAATGTGTGTGCGTGTATTGATTTTAATATCTTTGTCTTTTTTTGTGTGTGTTGTCATGCATGATATATGTGCTTATTCTTGTTTTCATGTTATAGTTTAAAAATTGTTACCAAAAAAGTCACAGAAAGTAGATCTTTTGAGATTTGAATATGAATGTTTCTGCTCTGTAGTTTATAGTGAAAAGAAGAAAAATTATAGCTGTCTCTTGACTGAGTATCGTTATCTTTTTTCTGGTATGTTATTCATCGACAACTTTTCCCTCCAGGCCTGCAGTAGTTGTGAGCACCCTTGACGGGCGAGTGACCAGTCTGGATGCCTTGACGGGGGCGGTTATGTGGTCACATCAGACGGGCGGCAAAAATAATGATATGCTGTCTTCTTCTATGTCGAAGGTAAAAGGAACTCTTTGTCTCCAGTCAGAGTTTTAGAGTTTTTATGTATTATAAATATTGATGGATAGTGAATTTCTTTGGAGTTCGTTTTTGTTTATTATAGCTTTTGGTGATTTCTTAAGAATGACAGAATCACAGAATTTATTTGACTTACATGTAGATATCATGTTATTTGTGCTATATATCCTGTCTTTTGCTCTTATTTTATAGTGATATGGTATAGTTCTTAAAAATCTACAGATATATTTAGTGATGGGTCCTCTTAGCATTATTTGTCAATGCTTGTGGTCTTCCTAGTACTTACCATTTTTTTATTTTTTAAAGGTTCTACAAATTCTTATTTTGTAAGCTTTCCATGAGTTCAAACCCACTGGGGGGTCATGATGCAACTTTTTTTGTGACTTCAGTTATATGCTGCTTAGATATAGTTTATTGATATATATCATGTGTGGACTAAATACAGGCAACACATATGATAATGTAATTAATTTTGTATGAAAATAATGAACACAAATTCAGTACAAAGACCAATATTATTGTTATTGTGAAATTATCAAATTTTACATAGTTATGACAGAAATAACTTTTCTTTTTGAAAAGTTCAATTTTTTTTTTTATATTCCAGAATAATAGTAATGCATTGTATCATTGCCAATCACACAGAACTTAGAAATTAATGTTAATTAGATATTTTTTTAATGTTCTCAAAACTCTATGATTCTTCAAAAGCAGCAGTATTTATTAATTGATTTGTTTGAACCTTTCAGTTGGAGGTGACTTCTCGTGGCGAGTGGGTGCGGCTTATCCCCTCCCTGGATGGGGGAATCTACCGGTTTGATGGAGACGGGGTGGAGGCTCTCCCGGTCACAGCCGAGACGCTCCTGCACTCCTCATTCAAGTTCAACACCGATACAGTTTTCACAGGTAGGTTCTCGGGTTTTACTTGGCCTGGGATAGAAGTCGTGCCGTGGATGTACATTGTAGTTGCATATGCATTTCTGATGTTTGTGTAATGCCGTTTTTTCATGTTTTGGATTGGTTTGGGCAAATTGCATGTGAGACCTTCTGCAGAGGCTTCATAAAATACAGTATGTTGAGAAATTCTGAGTAGCCTGCATTGCATACCATATACCTTTTTTGTTGATAATTATATTATTGTTCAGACTTTTGAGCCTCATTTACATGATTTCCTTGAATCTTTTAAGTGAAATTGTATAAATTAAATATTCCTGTTAAACTTTTTAGGAGGAAAGTCAACAGAAGTCTGGGGAATGTCAGCAAACACAGGACACTTGTTATACGTATGTAATACTGGTGGATGTAATCGTCAACAAACAGCATCAAAGCCTATACATGTGTTGGTTGTCCGGCGAGTAACGCAGATTGTCAGGGCCATTGACCCACAGTCTGGAGAGGAGAGGTAGGAAAAGATTCTCATATGTTATGTGTACAGTAAAGCCTTGCATTAAGTGGTACTGGAAAAGGTTGCCTAATACAATTTCATCATATGTAAATAATAAAATTATTTGAAAAAAAAAACTACAAACATACTTTGTTTTGGGGGGTAGCAGAGTTTTCATGCTGTTTTACTTGTTTGGTGTTTAAAACCTCATATCTTTGTGTATCATTCCTGGATATTATGATCTGAAATAGGTAACCAGATTTGATGAATAGTAGTAGTTTGTAATGGTCACTGATTGCAATTTTGTCAAATGCAAACATGCGAAATGTGAGGCTCTACTGTATGTATATTTTTGCACAGTGTTATGTGTATTCACTTCCATGTTCTGTCCGTATACCTCCTCTTGAAAAACAATGACAATAAAGAAGAGGAAACAGGCATTAAAGATTAAGATAAATAAGAAAATAGAAACCAATAACAGATAAACTTGATTTCAAGGTGGAACTTCAGTGTTGGTCAGCATGAGGTGAATCTTGCTGGCGGAGGCTGTGAGGGGATGAACAGAGGAGAGGAGGAGGAGGAGCTCCCTTCCCTTCATTTTGTTGTACCTGATGGCATCATAATGGGCATGGATGAGGAAGGGCATCTTCTCTGGCAGCAGAAGGTCAGTTTAAGGGAATCATCTGTTGAATGATTTGATTGTGGTGGATAAGGTTTGTTTTGACAGTTTTGATTGTTAGTTTAAGTTAGTTTAACCCAATGACGCCGGGTGTACTAAAGGAAAATAAAACTCTACGCTCTGGCAAACAAAGGCAGCGCGCCGACTTTGAGCGCAGGAGTACGGGGCGTCAGCCCGAATCACTGGCTCGCCGCGCTTTGGCGCGCCGCCGGCTGGTTTGGCCGCACGCCACCTTTCGAGCGATTTGTTTACACGCGTATCGCCGTCACCCGGCGGCAAGGGGTTAAGTTAAGAATGTACTTGATTATGTTTCTGTTAATCCATACTTCTCTACATATTTATGTGCAATATATGTAGTAACGCAAAGTGAGGAATATGAGAGCGCCAAGATAATTGAAATATTTGTTAGAACTTAAAATTAGCTTTGAAATATTTTTATATGCAGTGCAAGCATTTTGTAAATTGTTAGATTATTTAGTTTAAATTCCCTGTGAAGAAAATCTGTAATTCCATTTAGAACGACTAGAGTTTATTTTAATAAATGTAGGAAAAGCCACAGTACAGTGGTTATGATAAATGACGTCTTTTTTGCTGGAAAGGTAATTCTCTTTTCTACCACTTATACCAGCAAGAGCCTGGAGGTGCTTTTGGTCTAAGAAAATTTCCATTTATCATTTACAATTTCTTCTTCTGCCACAGGATTGTAAATCAAGCTGTATGGACTGACTTTAGGTACTTTTATTTAAAAGATATTCAAGTTGACTGTGTTTCTTTCAGCTGGCATCACCTGTGGTCAGTGCCTGGAGGATACAGGGAAGTGATATTCAGCAGATTGACTTGTTTAGCACAAACAGTGTACCAGCTTTGTGTCCAGAATCAGGACAATCCTATGGAGAAAATACAGAGGTCAGTTGTCATTACTTTGTCTCTAGGTTTTGTGTGATTTTGAGATTTTTCTCCTCATCATCATGAGAATTTTTAAGTATTTAGATTAGTTGGCAGTTTCTATTTACATTTTTTGAGGTGAAAATTGGAAAATTATATAGCATGTATTGTTAGCTAATGGTTTATAGGATAAGAAACTTTTAAATTCATGCCAAAGTATACAAATAGTTCAAATCAGTCTTTTTTCAGAAACAAACCTTGATTTTTTTTTATAGTAAATGTTAATGTGATATTTTTGTGATTAATTAATGTTTGTTTTATAAGGGAAGTCACCTTACAGTCACAAAAGCTTTTCATTTCAACAGACTGAGAATTTACATCTAGGAAAAGGTATTTTTGCGAAAGTGCTTACGGGGAACTTGCCTGGAAAACAAGCTGTTGTGCCGTATGCAACTTCATTTGATGTGATTTGATTGTTCTGAATGACTTGTAAATTATCAGTATGACCAGGATGAGGACCAGCAGCAACCTGCCTTGTACGTAGGGGTCCATCAGAAACAGCTGTATATTCAGCAGAGTGGCAACATGAGAAAGAGGGTCAACTCTGCAATCAGGATTTATGCCTCCGATTTACCCATTCCAGGTATGCTATGCTTTATGCACTAATGGATTGATACAGTAATGAGATGTACATTTTTTTGGCTATAGTGTGATTTCCTAAATAGAGAGTAAACTATGGCATCAAAGCATTTATTGATATGAATTTGATTTTCAGCGGAAACATCATTCCCGCGGGTTCAGTGGCGCCCTTACTTAGCAACAGCACTATCCCGAACGCCAATTGTTAACTATAACAGACGGAAGCACCCATTGCTCCTCAACTATGACCAAAAGGAGGAGAATACTGCAGTTGCGGTTGCTCACCAGATAGACTATCCTTTTGGTAAGCTATGAAAAGACCATTATGTTATAGGTCAATTGGCAGGTTAATCACTGTCCTGCCCCAAAATTTGATGATTGTAAAAAAAAAAAAGAGAGAGAGAGAGAGAGAGAGAGAGAGAGAGAGAGAGAGAGAGAGAGAGAGAGAGAGAGAGAGAGAGAGAGAGAGAGAGAGAGAGAGAGAGAGAGAGAGACAGAGAGGGGGGGGGGGGCAAGAGAGAGTGAGATCGATCCATCCATCCATCCAGACACATCCATATGCATATATTTATACATATACATATATATGTACTTATATTTCTATGTATATATACATACGGATTATTGTATGGCTGTGAGAATATGAGGATATAGAAAAGTTGTAGAATTTATCATATCGTTATGCATAATTCTGGAAAGTGAATGATAAATTTATTATTATTTCTTTTTGTTTAAAGTTTCGTCACCTTTTCTCATTTTGTATTACTATTCCAAATTTCTGCAATCTAGATGGCATGTGTATGCCACTTGCATTCTTATTACTGGATGACACTCTTGGACTTGGTTCTAAAGGTAATCTTCAAAGAAAGTATATGTGCTTACTGAAGATGTGTATTGAATGTGTAGTAATGGAGAGAGGTAACAGTAGTAATATAGGTATGTATGATAAATGCTGGTTAAGTCATATATTAAGTACTTTATTATCATTAAGTGTAATTAATGTTGCTTCTCCATAGACTGCATAATGATGGATATGTTTCTGTAATTTTTGAAGTATGGTCTGGTATTTGAGGGATTAATTGTAGGTATTAAGAAAAACAAGGAGAATGTATATAGCCAGAAAAAAAAGTGTAAAAAGCTAGATTTATGTAAACGAACAAACATGTAGGCGTTTTAGAAATTTAAGTTTTTGGCTTGAAAGGGATGTCATGTCCCACCTTTTCATCATTTGAATTAGTATATATCACAGTATCTATCACAATATCACCATCCAATATCCACTGTAGTTTTGTGCTTTGAATTTTGTTTAAATTGTAGATGTTCCCACAAGTACTTAGTTATCAAGAAGTAAGTTGATTATTTCTTGATTATTTGTGAAGATTTTTGATTTTGTGCTGATGCTATTATTACTGTTGTTGTTTTTATTATCATGTTTTTTGTAATATTGCTAACAACACTATTAAGTAGTAAATATGTTAAAAGATACATCAGGCAAAAGGATAAAGATGTGAGCCCAGATAGGTCTAAACTAATTGGCTCCTTGGTGACTGAGCACTTTTGAAGTCATCTGTGTGGAAAGGAAACTGATTAATTAAAAGCACGGTGGATTTGTCATTACATACACACCCTCCAGCCATCACCAGGTTAAGGAGTGGCAGTAAGTGTAGTTTAGAGGATTAGTACATTGCTACACAACAGAAATCTTAACCATAACGAAATAATGTGTTGTGAGGTATTTTCATGGACTGTTTGTGTAAGAAAGGGTGAGAAGCAGATTGATAATGGAAAGATTTGATATGCAGGATTGTCCTGTTTTTACCTCCATGAAGATTTCCATTTCGGTGTGATGCATTTTGCATTGCTTTGTTCTTCACCTGTTTTTTAGTGGTTTTGAGGTTTCATTGAAAGATTTTTCAACTACCTTTTATACTGCACAATGATCCTATAATTTTGTATGTCTTCTGGAAAAGTGCCTAATGACTTTGAATGTCCAGGAGTGTGAAATTAGAGAACAGGTTGTGTTTCTGATATTTAGGTCATCAGGAAGTGCACAGTAAATCTTTTTGAAGTTGAAACATAACGTATAGAAAGAGATATATATATATTATTGTTGTTTTTTTCAGATAATGGCTATTACCTCTATGGCGAAAGTGAGGGTCAGCTCAATCTGAGTCGTCCCTTGGAGGCTCCCACAGGTATGCCCGAGGACGAAGATGAAACCCTCATGGATGATGTGGCAGCGCAGATTCTTCACATATGCTTTCACATTGGGTAAGTTAGATAGATTGCTATGCTATGTTTTGTTTAGCCTTGTTCTGCTGTGATGAAATGATTACACTAGTTTTTAAGCGTGAAAGTATACCTCATGTTTTTAGTGGTTTACTATTTAATGCAAGTACTGAAAGTTATGTGAAATGAGTATATGTACACTTTAACACTATTTGGCATTGAGTTTTGTGTGTTACAGGCCTGAAACTTGGATGAAACTGGTTTGTGGTGTTGCTTGCTATGCCTTGCTTCACTTTCTTCTGTTGCGGTACATTCTAGTCAGCATGAGACGTCAAGTGACACAGCAAACCCTCAATCTGGTTACACAGATGCTGAATCTCATCATTCAGAATAATCCACATGTGTGTAGTCATTTATTTTTTCTTTTACCGATAGTGTTTGGGTATTTTCACACTGACTTTAATGTTTGTATTTCTGGTGTTTCTGTATTAATGCAATTTTTTTTTTTTTTTTAGAAATAGTTTGAATTTTTTTCATATTAACTAACAAATAATAATAAAGCCATAGCCGTTTTAACTATTTGTTCTGGAAAATTTGCATTTATTTTACATTTTGCACTGTATGGCTTACAGATCCTGGCATTAATTCACCGAATGGGAGTGCAGGTGCCCCAGGTTGCTGCCCCACCACCTGCGCCACCCGCTCCAGCTCCTACTGAGGTTCCTGTATTGACGAGTAATCCTCCGGCAGATTCAGCCTTGCCGGAGAAGAGCGAACCCCCGACGCCCCAGTTCACTTCAAGGTTAGTGAAGTGGTGGATTAGTTCTCATTTCAGGCGCTTGCTGGCTCTTCAGTTGGGGTTTTGCGCTTTCACGTCCAGAAGGGGATTTCGTGCCCTGTTCTTTGGTCCGTTGGGTTTCTTGGTGGGAATTCTATAATTTTTGGGAGTCATTGCTGTTTGAGAATTCAGAAGTTTGATTTTTTTTTTTTTCTCAGAAACTATAAGAGATGTTTAGTTCCTGTTTTTTTTCTCTCTGAGAAGAGTATGTGATTTAGGTTAACTTAATTGGCCATAAAGTGCCAAGATTCAGACGAAGAAAAAAACAAGTGCCAGTGTTGCAATTGAATTTTTCATAATTCAGTGAAATGCTTGCAGGTATGCAACAGACTTTGAGCCCATGCACTGCCTGGGACGTGGCGGCTTTGGTGTGGTGTTTCAGGTCCGGAACAAGCTTGATGAGAATGAATATGCAGTCAAGAGGATAACATTACCAGCAAAGTATGAAAAGCATAGTTTAAGTTCTTGCAATTTACTTTAGATAATAAAGAAAAAAAAGGCATTTGGATGAAGATCAAAGTTAATCTTAAAATATTTTGAGCACTAGAAAGTATTTTCAAGAACACATATAATTTGTGGGAGTGTATGAGCATTTTTCCCAGTTGGAAAAATAAATATCACCAATTTTCTCTTTTATTCAGAAATTGTTTTTTATATTTTATGGTAGTGGTGATTAGATGAGAAACGTGCATTGTTATTTATTAGTGGTTGAGAAATCCATTAGTCATTTGTGTATAAAATCATAGATCTTTAGCTTATGTAGTAAAGCACCAACTCATATTAAGTCAATGTTTATGAATTTACACCAAGCTAAGCAAGCAGGATGTGTATTACATAGTTACAGAATTTACTTTGTATTTTGAAAAATGAATATTAATCCTCATCTTAAACATACCATTTGGTCTCTTAACTTCTTGAAAAGGAAAAGAAAAGAGCAGAAAGGAAGGACAAGAACTAGTTGTACATGTCAGCTGAACAATTCATTTAGAAGAAAACTTTAAAATTTCCAAAATACCAAATTATTCTTTTAGTGTATGCCTACAAAATTTAAAACATTCAGAGACTAATACATTTCATCATATTCAGGGAATCCTCTGCAGAGAGAGTAAAGCGTGAGGTCCGCGCACTTGCCAAGTTGAACCACACGAATATTGTGCGTTATTACAACAGCTGGTTGGAATCGCCTCCTCCTGGTTGGCAAGATGAGTCTCTGTTTCTTTTACAGAGTGGGTAAGGGATTAATTGATGAGTTTTGTATTTTCCTTAGTGGTGTAGTAGTGTTTTATTTTGCATATTTGCTTATGTGACTGTGTTGAGGGAATCACTTTCGGTTTTCATAAAAGATTGTACAGTTTTTTGAATGGGTGAAATATATGCATCTTAATTGATTTAGGTTATTACTGTTTTTATTATTAATTTGTCTAATCTCTCCCACCTTTCAAGATCTGAACCTTTGTCCATGTCCCCTTTCTCTCATGGGGCGGAAGAGACCCGTGACAAGTGCCAGGAAGAGAGCTTTGCCTGCCGTGACGCAGACGAAGGCTTGAATGATTCTCTCTCGGATGTGTTTAACAAACTTGCCCCCAAACCTTATGAAAGTTATAGCAGGGTTGAGGACCAGGAAGGCAGAAGTGGGTCCTATACTGGCTCTAAGGAGGAGTCTGAAGAGGAATCTGAGATGGAGGAGGAGGAGGAGGAGTCTGAGGGTTTGCAAGAGAACACAGATAAGTCTTCCAGTTGGTGGCAGAATGATAGCCAAACGGGAGACGTTCAGGACACCCAGAATGATTTTGCTGCAGATGATTCGTTTGAGATAGTTTTTGAGAATCCCGAAGTGAAACCGAGTGAGAGAAGTGATGACTGCACAAGTAATAAAAGTGACTCTAAAGATGCTGGCATTCAGAATAGAGACAATGCTAGTGAAGTAGAGGACAGTCTTAGTCAGTCGATAGTTTTTCAAGACTCAGGGTGTGACAATGAGAATAGTTTATCACTACGCAGTACTGTATTTGATGATAAAAGTGCTAGTCAAGAAAGAAGTAGCCAGAGCAAGGAAAGCCACAACTACCACAAAAAGCTGCAGAAGAGGAAGAGATTACAGAGTCATCCCCTTGGGAGCGATTCAAAGGAAACGAGTGAGAGACCAAGAACGTTAAGCCTCCAGACGAGTATGGAGAAGATAACCTCCCACTCCAAAGAAGAGGCCAGTGTTCTCCGCAGCAGGACCTTCCTCTATATCCAGATGGAGCTTTGTCAGAGGGAAAGCCTGAAGGACTGGCTCTTGCAAAATGAGATTAGAAATAAAAAGACTATCTGTGATATGTTCAATGATATCGTGAAGGCTGTTGAATATGTCCATGATAATCAGCTTATGCATCGAGATCTGAAGGTAAAGTGGTCTTTGGATTTCTTTGGAATATCTGTGTGAATTGATGAATTTAATTTTTAGTTATCAAATGTCAGAAACAGGCATTTTTATTACAAATCAAATTCATTGCATTGCACTATTTTATAGAAATAAAATTCTCTCTTTTTCAGCCTTCTAATATCTTCTTCTCACTCGATGGCAAAATAAAAATAGGAGACTTTGGATTGGTAACCACTATTGCCGAGGACCTGCGAACCCCAGGGGTCGTTCAGCCAGGCTACATGGGTAGACTGCCTGATAGTCACCACACCCATCGTGTGGGGACTCAGCTTTACATGAGCCCTGAGCAAGTAAGTTATGAAAAGTGTTAACTATTTGATTCGCTTCTTCATAAAATTTCTGAAGTTATTAGTCCATTATAACAATTGAAGAACATTCTTAGAAAACTGTAATAAAAAAGAGAGAAGAAAAGAATTCTGTTGTAGATTGTGTGTGACTGTGTTTTCAACCCATTTGCTATGAGTACATGTACTGTCTGCTGTAGTTTTTCGTGAATTTTGTGACTCAGATGGCTCCACAAATGCTCAGCCAACAAGGGGTCAATTAGTAATTAGTATTGAATTTTAAAAAGCGATATTTTCAAAACCAACAAAGAAGAAAAGGCATTTGAAGCTGGAGTAGAATGATGAAGGAAAAATATTAAGATGCAAGTTGCTAAGTGCATAACAATATTTCTACTTAATTAATGATTTGTTAATTTCAAGATATTAATAAATAACAGCCTGTATTTATTACATCTCCATAATTTAATATCAATTAAATGATTACTGACCATGTAAAATATTTCAATAATAAAATGAGATAGGTGAGTTTAAGTTAAATTCTTAAGAATAGGGTATGAGGTAGACTTTTACCAACAACGCAGTAACTCAACATTTTGTAGTGTCTTAAGTTAAGATGAGTGATGCCTAATAGTGTCTCACCATAGTTTTTTGCTCATGGAAATATGGCTTTATGTCCTGCTATCAATGAACAATGGATTAAATAATATGTTGGTTTTATTACAGGTGACGGGCCAAGTCTATGATTACAAAGTAGACATATACTCCTTGGGACTCATTTTCTTTGAGATGCTAGTGCCATTTTCCACTGGTATGGAGCGTCTGACTGTCATGACCCGTGTACGAGAAGGAACGTTCCCAGATGGATTCATAGAAAGTTATCCTGATGAGGTAAACTTCTTTGTTTAATTAAAGACAAAATCCATGCTGTTGTGTAAAGTTAATTAGGAGATTTTTATTTAACAGTTTAAATGGGTTAATTTTACAGACTCAGCTAAGTAATGTTGTTAGGCCTCCTGCAAATACACACAACAAAATGCCCACATGCCCACACACCTACACATCCACCCATCCACCCATCCACCCATCCACCCATCCACCCATCCACCCATCCACACACCCACACCCACCATCATCACACACACTCCCACACACACCCACACACACCCACATATCCACATACCCACACACCAACACACATCTAAGCACACCCATACTACTGTGATGTTTATCTCATCTGTCTCTCTTTTATTATTAAACCTCTCCTAACCCCTACAGACAGAATTACTGAAGCTCATGCTCTCTGCCAATCCGGACACGCGTCCCACAACAAGGGGCATCCGTGCCAGAAACCCTCTGAGGCCGCTCCAGGGCATCTCTGTCGAGGACATCCAGCCCGAGGATCACTTCCATCTCTCCCGCCAGCGCTCCCTTGTACATTCCCAATCGTCCTCCTACTCCATCGCTTCGTCCACTTCGTCGGGGAGATGATGGTGATGATGATGATGATGTCAGGAAAACATATCTTCTGTCGTGGGAGTTTTCCGCGATTTCCTTCATCCTCATTCTTCAAGTGATTTGTTCATCAGCGCTTTTAGTCTTGTCCTTATACCTCATCTCAAACAGTCATGTAATAAGTTTCCATAGGCTAGAAAACTTGTATCACTGCTCATCAAAGATCTGTCGTTTGCTTGCAAAATGTACGCTATCATGGTTAATAAATTTGTTTATATTTTAGTAGCTTTATCATGGGTTTTGACCATCTTTTTTCACTAGGGTCCTTATCTGAAAAGTGAATGGGGTGTTTACATGACACTTTTTGGAGGTTGTACTATAAACAAATGTTATCACAAACATTTAAAAGTATACATATATTTTTTTTTTTCTCTTTCTCTCTTCTCTTTGGTGCAGAAAGAAGTACCATACTAAGCTTGTTAAGCTAGATGATACACAATCTACTAGTATTAACCATTGTGAGAGTCTAGAGTGGGTTTCTGGTGTTATGAAACAAAGAACAGTACTTATAGTGTGCATAAGTAATACTTCCCTCACTCTAATAAACTGTGAAAGACTGTTCCACAGTATTTCTGTAACATGACCTTGAAATTATCTCTTCTCTTGGATGCATGTAAGTGGTATATATACATTTTCAAAAACCAAAAATAAGATATGTATTATTAGTTACCTATAGTCATAGAGTATATCACTTTATTATTTTTCCCTGATATTCACACCACAGTAAGACTGAGCCTTTGTTTATGATATTTTTTTTATTTCATAATATTGTAAGTAGAGGGGTTACCTATTAGAAGAGAGTCTACATTTTAAATTTGTTTTGTGATTTGATATTACATATGATTTTCATATTTTGTCTCTGGAGAGGTTAGGCCAAAGGAAGATGAAGAGTCATAGCCACACAAACTCAAAAAAAAACAAAACAAAAAAAAAAACATTGAGTGGTTGTTTTTCGGAGGATGGAGAACTTTTTATCCTTATGATGGAGACCAAAGGCTGTTTTGATTATTGTAGATTGTTGTGGAGTATATGCTTTGAGTGGTATAAATTTATTTTGTTATATTTAATTATCATCAAGTATCATGTAGCTATCATTCATTAGCAATGATATTGAGTATTCACAAGTAGCATTAAACTGTGGTTAGTCATACTACATCGTGTGCAAGCGTCGCTTCTTACCATTAGTATTACATTCATGTGAGTAAAGGGTTTGAAAAGCACAAGACAGTTGTTCAGACTTCACAGGTTGAAAAGGACATTTTTTAACAATGTTTGTGATGATATTTAGAACAAGCAGATGGCTTAAAGTGTGTAAAGTGTTGGGGAAACCCCACAGGATGCTTTGAAGTTGGGTTTTAATTGTATCCATATAATCTGACTCTATATTTTTACATATGGTAAAAATAATCAAATCTTGATGTTCAATTGAACATATTATAACATAGAAATTAGTTTATTTGAGTGTTTTTTTTTTCTTTTATTCTTTATTAATATATTTGTTTTAAAGGAAAAACAGCAGTTTACCATAGTATTACAGAAATATGCCAAAACAGTTTTGTCTTTCCTGAAGAAAATGAGGAATTATTATTCTTATTGTTTCTCAGTCAGCAGGATAAGGTGGAGCTGTTAATGCATGTTTTTTTCATACTCTTCTGTGAATTTGATGGTATTGATTTTATGCATGTAATGATAAAGTGCTGCAGGTTATTTCAGGAGATTGAATCCATAGTCAGTATTTCTTCCCTTGTATGTTTAGATATTCATGTGTTAATGGATAAAAAAAACAAAAAACGGTGTACTTGTTAATGTATTCCAAAGGAATGAAGATTTATTTAGTTAACTCAAAGACCACGGGAAAATGTTGTATGTAGTATGGTTTTGTGACATATCATTGCACATGGATGGCTCTGCAATTGCTTAGCCACAATGGAATCAATTAGTAGACTTTGTGACCTCACCTGATTTCACCTTTCCTTGAGTTTGTGGAAAAAACGCTTTTTTTTTTTTTTTTTTACTAACGAGATAAATATTGATGCTGTTATCCTTATTATAGACTTTATAATTATTAAAATGTAATTGACATTACTAACAGCAGTATTAAATACCAGATAATATTTTTAAAAATCAAGGAAAAGGGTAAATAGGTGAGGGAGGTAGTACTCCAAATGCTCATTGGTTATCAACACACACACACACACACACACACACACACACACACACACACACACACACACACACACACACACACACACACACACACACACACACACACACACACACACACACACACACACACACACACACACACACACACACACACACACACACACACACACACACACACACACACACACACACACACACACACACACACACACACACACACACACACACACACACACACACACACACACACACACACACACACACACACACACACACACACACACACACACACACACACACACACACACACACACACACACACACACACACACACACACACACACACACACACACACACACACACACACACACACACACACACACACACACACACACACACACACACACACACACACACACACACACACACACACACACACACACACACACACACACACACACACACACACACACACACACACACACACACACACACACACACACACACACACACACACACACACACACACACACACACACACACACACACACACACACACACACACACACACACACACACACACACACACACACACACACACACACACACACACACACACACACACACACACACACACACACACACACACACACACACACACACACACACACACACACACACACACACACACACACACACACACACACACACACACACACACACACACACACACACACACACACACACACACACACACACACACACACACACACACACACACACACACACACACACACACACACACACACACACACACACACACACACACACACACACACACACACACACACACACACACACACACACACACACACACACACACACACACACACACACACACACACACACACACACACACACACACACACACACACACACACACACACACACACACACACACACACACACACACACACACACACACACACACACACACACACACACACACACACACACACACACACACACACACACACACACACACACACACACACACACACACACACACACACACACACACACACACACACACACACACACACACACACACACACACACACACACACACACACACACACACACACACACACACACACACACACACACACACACACACACACACACACACACACACACACACACACACACACACACACACACACACACACACACACACACACACACACACACACACACACACACACACACACACACACACACACACACACACACACACACACACACACACACACACACACACACACACACACACACACACACACACACACACACACACACACACACACACACACACACACACACACACACACACACACACACACACACACACACACACACACACACACACACACACACACACACACACACACACACACACACACACACACACACACACACACACACACACACACACACACACACACACACACACACACACACACACACACACACACACACACACACACACACACACACACACACACACACACACACACACACACACACACACACACACACACACACACACACACACACACACACACACACACACACACACACACACACACACACACACACACACACACACACACACACACACACACACACACACACACACACACACACACACACACACACACACACACACACACACACACACACACACACACACACACACACACACACACACACACACACACACACACACACACACACACACACACACACACACACACACACACACACACACACACACACACACACACACACACACACACACACACACACACACACACACACACACACACACACACACACACACACACACACACACACACACACACACACACACACACACACACACACACACACACACACACACACACACACACACACACACACACACACACACACACACACACACACACACACACACACACACACACACACACACACACACACACACACACACACACACACACACACACACACACACACACACACACACACACACACACACACACACACACACACACACACACACACACACACACACACACACACACACACACACACACACACACACCACACACACACACACACACAATGTAATTGACATTACTAACAGCAGTATTAAATACCAGATAATATTTTTAAAAATCAAGGAAAAGGGTAAATAGGTGAGGGAGGTAGTACTCACAAATGGCTCATTGGTTATAACTTATAACTTGTGGCGCCATCTATGTGTAAAGACATTTAATAGATCAAACTCATGGCATGTACATACGTGCCATTCCTGGTGGCTTGGGGTTCATGTTAAAGGAATTCTTTTCAAGTCAGTTTTGTGAAAAAAGTTGACAGTTGGAAAATATGTAAAAAGAATATACATTAAGCTTATTCTTAATTATTATGGTTATGATATTGTTGCATATGTGTCTTTTTCTTATATGATTCATATTCTGGTTGTTACTTAGTCAAAAAAATCTATCTAATGCCAAGGAAATTATAAACAAAAGATTTTTATTTTTATATATAAAAAGTATGGGGAAAATACTGTGATATATTATATTTCCCAATTTTTGCGTCACTGTCTTGCCTGAGCTACAGTTGTGTCTGGATATGGCTGGGCAACAGAGAGTCAGTGCTGCTGCATGGGGTGGGGTGGATGGGGGGGAGGGGGAGATTCCGAGATATTCCAGTTACATTCGTTTTATATAACCTTCTCTACTAACGAGATAAATATTGATGCTGTTATCCTTATTATAGACTTTATAATTATTAAAATGTAATTGACATTACTAACAGCAGTATTAAATACCAGATAATATTTTTAAAAATCAAGGAAAAGGGTAAATAGGTGAGGGAGGTAGTACTCACAAATGGCTCATTGGTTATAACTTATAACTTGTGGCGCCATCTATGTGTAAAGACATTTAATAGATCAAACTCATGGCATGTACATACGTGCCATTCCTGGTGGCTTGGGGTTCATGTTAAAGGAATTCTTTTCAAGTCAGTTTTGTGAAAAAAGTTGACAGTTGGAAAATATGTAAAAAGAATATACATTAAGCTTATTCTTAATTATTATGGTTATGATATTGTTGCATATGTGTCTTTTTCTTATATGAATCATATTCTGGTTGTTACTTAGTCAAAAAAATCTATCTAATGCCAAGGAAATTATAAACAAAAGATTTTTATTTTTATATATAAAAAGTATGGGGAAAATACTGTGATATATTATATTTCCCAATTTTTGCGTCACTGTCTTGCCTGAGCTACAGTTGTGTCTGGATATGGCTGGGCAACAGAGAGTCAGTGCTGCTGCATGGGGTGGGGTGGATGGGGGGGAGGGGGAGATTCCGAGATATTCCAGTTACATTCGTTTTATATAACCTTCTCTCTTCTTTTTTTTTTTTTTCTTTTTTTTTTTTTCTTGTATCTGTTTAAGCTTTCTCCTATTTATGCAACTTGAATTTAGTACAATGAAAAGTTTGTGTAATGGCTCATAACTTTACTCCTCGAACAATATGTGTACATGACTGCCATAAGGTGTTGACATTTTTGGATTTTTTTAAATGTATGTTAATTTCCAAATAAGATATTAAACTTATGGCCAAAATATGCGTCTTTTTATTCCTTATTCCTATGTTATGTAATTGTTAGCTCAAGGAAGTGAGGGTAATTTTCATACATTTTGAAAAAGAACAACAGTAATGTGATATATGCTTGAGTTATTGTTTTTTTCCAGTTAAGGACACCAAACAAACACAGCACACCCACGCCTCCCTAATAACGTGTGTGCGCGCGCACGCACGCACGCACGCACACACACACACACACACACACACACACACACACACACACACACACACACACACACACACACACACACACACACACACACAAAGCCTAGGCACATAACTGCATACACATACGATATATGCATGAAAATATTGCATACACTAAAAACAAGTACACACATGCAATCAAGTTGATATGTCTATATTTATGCATTTAGTCAGGCTAAGGGAGTACAAAGGATCACATGAAGCCAGTACAACTACGTAAATATGAAACTAAAGCTACATATCCATTAGGAAATTAATATGCAATTTTCCCTCTCATTTCCTGAAAGCATTGTGAATTTGTTGGGGGTAAAGAAAAGCACTCATTTGTTTCAATGAACTTTCCCACTTTTCATTGACTTACAGTAAAGAATCACACAAAATTCTACAGAAATCGGGGCATACACCCCTACATAGTAATCTAAAATTATATGTTACATAGCTTTGAGGGAGGTCATAGTGGCAATGACTGATGAATGGCAGTGCTTGGGGGCTTTCGTCCACAACGTTGCCCAGATGGTAAGAAACGGAGTAAAGGAAGCAGACTGATGAAGCGCTGATCGCGATGCCGGGAACCTTAAGGTGAAATGTATCCTCCCCAAATATTTCCTCCGCCGGATACCTCCAGCTCGCCTGAGTAGCCGAAAACGGCCCTCCCAATCTCTCCCTTGTCGCCTCTGTGTCCCGGAGGCCCGCGTTCGCCGGGGATGCCGCGGCCGGCGTCGCCCTTGCGCCCTTGCGGCCCGGGCGTGCCGTAGCAGCAGTCGCCCTTCCGGCCCTTGTCGCCGGGGCTGCCGGGAGGACCCGGGTCGCCCGCGGGGCCCACGATGCAGCTGGAGCCCGGGCAGCGTCCCGGCTCGCCGGCGGGGCCGCGGTCGCCCTTGTCCCCGGGGTCGCCCTCCTCGCCGGGCTCCCCGGGCTCGCCCACCATCTCGTACGCTGGGGAAGAAGCACGCATGAGCTGAGGCAGGAGAGAGAGAGAGAGAGAGAGAGAGAGAGAGAGAGAGAGAGAGAGAGAGAGAGAGAGAGAGAGAGAGAGAGAGAGAGAGAGAGAGAGAGAGAGACTGGAGGAGTACACGAAATGTAAAGGATACTTAACTCCACCACAGAGCTTTAGTAGATACAAAACTTCTATCTATAAGGAAAAACATACCCCTATCATCTGAGTTCAAGTATTTATTAGAAACAAAATTCCATTTATGGTTAGTTACAATTATAGTAATAATGGCATTAACAGCCACAATAACTATAAGAAAGGTTCGTGCTTAATTTTCTATAAGAAGAAATTTAATCACAAACCTGACACAAAGCAACGAGAAAGTGAATTAGTGACCCCGTAGAAACATTTTAAACACGAGTGAATTCATGAAGTTTCATTACGATCCGACAGTGACTTCACGTGTAATCCTGGTGACAGACCAGTTAATCAGGAACCGATACGTTTTTAAATAAGACAACACCCTCTTTGGGACAATATGAAATTACTAAATTCCTTACCTCCCTCGACAGCCAGACGCATGCGGAAGATGGCGGCCACGAGAAGGTCGATTCGAGTGTCGAGTTTGGAGATCAGGTCGATCTGGTCCCTCACCACCAGGTACTTGGAGACCAGCAGGCTGATGTCCCAGGGGCACTCCTTGTCCCCTTCCTGTAGAACGGCGAGGTGGGAGGTGTGAAAAATCACAGTCGAAATGTTTTGTAGGAAATGAAAACAACAGATGAGCCCTATACCCTCAGTGCCTGTGCCTTCGGGTACGATCGTGCTGTAGGAGAATATAATGAAATAGTAATATACATAAGCTATCTTAGGGTAAGCATGAATCCCGCGTGTAAGAAAGGATTGCATATACAGTGGCAATGAAGCACCCTTTAGTGACGAAGTGACGCTGAAACATGTAAGGAAAATCCAAAAAAAGAAAAGATTCTGCTGTAAGACTGTGTCATATGATTGTTCAGATATTTCTGCTGTATCTGTATTTATGTGAATTTAGTAGAATCGGCCATTTCAATCAACTCTTTAAGTAATCATACGGATAAGAACTTCTGCAGCCTAATCATCGCGTCTTCCATGGCTTAGAGTGTGCCTCAGGATGCCCAATGACCCTCCGGACGGGACTCAAGAGGAACCACTTACTGGACACCCTCGGTCGCAGCATCCGCTGGAGATCATGTTCGTGATGGTGCCGTACCAGGCATCGTTGCCGCAGCTCGGGGGGGCGACGCAGCTACTGCCGCTGCAGGTTCCCGGGAGGCCAGGAGGCCCTGGGAGGCCCGGGGAGCTGATGCCAGGCGGGCCAGGTGTCCCTGGGGGGCCCGTGCAAGGGGGTCCGGGGGGTCCGGGCGGCCCAGGGCGCCCAGGGGGACACGTGGCTGGCTGAGTGGGGCAGGGGGGGCACTGGGGGGCCGGGGGACACACAGGGTCAACCGGCGGGGGCACCGGGCCGGGCGTCGGGGGCACCGGGTCAGGCCTGGGGGGCACCGGGCACGGAATCATTGGGCACGCCGGGGGGATCGGGCACACCGGCGGGTTGACAGGCGGTCGTATGTAGGGACACTGGGTGTACTGCCTCTTGAACTGCACGCTGGGCTCGAGGTCCGCCAGCAGGCGGTCCAGCTGGTCGACGTTGTCGGTGCCGGTCCTGTTGCCTGCAAGAGGAAGGGCGGCTTTGCGCAGGACGTCAGGAAGGGAGATTTCGCCTGAAGGGCAGGTGTTGTGCGAATGACATCCCGGCTCTGGTGAGGCCTTTTAGATAAGCAATGAAGGGTAATACGCACACACACACACACACACACACACATACACACACACACACACACACACACACACACACACACACACACACACACACACACACACACACACACACACACACATACACACACACACATATGTGTGTGTGTGTGTCTGTTTATATATGTGTATATTTAAATGCATACATACATACATACATACATATATATATATATATATATATATATATATATATATATATATATATATATATGTATATACATACATATATATATATATATATATATATATATATATATATATATATATACATATATATATATATATATATATATATATATATATATATATATATATATATATATATATGTATATACATACATATATATATATATATATATATATATATATATATATATATATATATATATATATACATATATATATATATCTGTGTGTGTATGTGCGTTTATACATAAACACATTTTTTTAGCGTGTATATGTACATCTACATGCTGTAAACGGAACCATAACATTTATTACGTGGCGTTCCTTGCGTGGGCGTGATGGGCGGAGGTCCCACAGGGCGGTCCTTCTTGCGAGTCTTTTTCTTGCCCTTCTTCTTGGCCGCCCACGCGGGCGCCGCGAGGAACAGGCACACCGACACCCACCACATCCTCCACGCCCATATCCGGACCCTCATCGCGAACTCGGCCTGTGGGAGATATGCCGTTTGAGGGGGGGGGGGTGGCATCGGCTGCCGCGCGCTTTGTCTGTCGGTTTGTCTGTCGGACTGTTTGTTGGTCTGCCCGTCGGTCTGTCAATCTGTCTGTCGGTCTGTCAGTCTGTGTGTCGGTCTGTCTGTTAGTCTGTCTGTTGGTCTGTTTATCGGTCTGCCTGTCGGTATGTCTGTGTGTCGGTCTGTCAGTCTGTCTGTTGGTCTGTTTGTAGGTCTGTGTGTCGGTCTGTCAGTCTGTCTGTTGTCCAGTCTGTCGGTCTATCAGTCTGTCTGTAGGTCTATGTGTCGGTCTGTCAGCCTGTCTGTTGGCCTGTTATCTGTCTGTCGATCTGTCAGTCTGTAAGCCTGTCTGTATGTCTGCCTGTGTGTCTGGACGACGGAAAATAAGTCTCTAGTAAGTCACTAGCTGTCTGTCCTTCTGTCTATGATCTACTCTTTCTCTATAATGAGAAAGAGAAAGAGAGAGAGAGTGTATGTATGTATGTGTGTGTGTGTGTGTGTGTGTGTGTGTATTTATATTTCATTTGGTATCATCATTACCATGGCCATTAAATGCCGTTCAAATATGCATGCTTACGGAACTATATGCATTAATATTTATATTTTGAAATATGTACTCGTATGTTATTCCCTCTCAACACATATATACCCTATACGCACATACACATAAGTGACAGTTACTTCCCTACACCATACTGTCATGCCAATGGTGTGAGGAAACTATTCGAGTTCTAATAATGTTAACTGTATTCGTCCTTCCCTCTTTCTTGCTACATCGGATAGACATGAGAGCAATAGTGGCAGTATCACAAACTCGGTCTGTCTATCTGTCTCTCTCTCTCTCTCTCTGGATACCTTCTCATATAAGAATATCACTATGTGACAGGGCTGATCAATTAGCCAGGTTAGCACTTTCCCATGAAGACCCATACTATGTAATACCACTATCTCTCAATCAAATAAAAAAAAACGAGTTATCAACTGTCTTAGAGATTATGAGGATCAGGTATGGACCAATGAAAAAATGAAAAAAGACGGACATGGTACTATCTGGCACTACGAGAGTATTGTTGGGGCCAAATTTAGACAAGCCCTATAAAGTCTATCACGGACTGTCTCAGAGACAACAGGTTACATTAACTAGGCTACGCATAGGATATCAGTTCACTATACAATATATACAGGATGCAGTTTTGGATTCAAAACCTGTTTCATATCATCCTTGCAAACTGTGCAAGGAACCCAAGTCGCATAATCTCACTCATTACTTACTCTACTGCACAAAGACTGCATCCTATCGATCAAATAGTACTGTTCACAGAAAAGCGCTTGTTGATTATATTAAATTTATTATAGACACTGGTCTTGTTTTTGACATGACTAGTGATGTAAAAGGTTTTTTACCAGTCAGATGATATTTTCATATAGAGATAATAGAACAGCCCTTCAGGCATGTATGTAACACTAATGTCTGACCGATGGCCCTCTACACAAATAGAAGCACAGCCAGTTTGGATAGATGCTTTGGTATCTTACCCTGGCTTTTTGCAGGGCATGTACACTGTTCTGTAAATAAATGTTATCAAATCAAATCAAATCTCTCTCTCTCTCTCTCTCTCTCTCTCTCTCTCTCTCTCTCTCTCTCTCTCTCTCTTATATATATATATATATATATATATATATATATATATATATATATATATATATATATATATATAGACATATATATATATATATATATATATAGACATATATATATATATATATATATATA